ATTAAGTTACCGCTGATGACAATAATATTCAAATAATACTGGTGCTAAAACTAATAATCATACTTAGTAGTGCCAGTACTTGAGGCATCGTAATGGTCGACCAGTCTCTGTGCGATAGATTCGTAAGTGACCGACTAGGCCGATGCGTGGGGTAAGTGTGCGATTGCAATGAGGGCAGATTAGGCTTGAGCCCCCAGTGCGCGTAGATGATTCAGCTGTGGTGATAAGGGTGGTGGCAGGCGGTGATGCATCGGAGTGGGTGGTGAGGGTTAGGGGTGAGGTCGCAGGAGGGAGGATGGTGTCGGCAGTCGAGCTTCCGTAGTGAGGGTGTTCATCGTCGAAGTACTGGTCACAGGAGGAACTATTGAAGTGCTTGACGCCGTAGAAGTGGGTGCCGTCGAAGGGATGGTGCGCTGCGTCGGGAAATGACCGGCCAAGCCCATACGTGCGCTGAAGGTGCATGGACAGGTTCTAAACACTTAGGCATTGACAGCGTGCGTCTGTTAAATTTGAGACTTTCGAGCCGTCCTTTTCGCCTTGGCGGCGGCGATCCGACTGGCTTCATAGATGGTCGCGCCAGTTTTACCGTTCGTCGCCAAGCAGACCGTTCCTGCACAAGTTCCAGGTCGCTCTGTTGATATGAAGACGCCTCAGAGAGCTCTTCAGTTTCTGTGTAGCGGCATTTTTGTCCTCCTGTGTGGCGAGCTTCCGAGCTTGGTTGGCATAGACGGGTCAAGTCTCCGCTCCGTGCAGGAGTGTCGTAAGCACGACGGCCTTGTACACTTTCAATTTCGTGGACAGCTGGAGGCTGTGACGATTCCACACGGAGAATTGAAATCGGCTGAGGTCTTAGCTAGTTTTGCAGATCCAGCGAGCAACCTCGTCATCAATTTTGGCGCTGCGGCCTAGCGTACTGCCTAGATGGGTGAAGTTGTGCACGTTTTTGAGTTCGGCACCGTTAACGCCGATACGTGGAGCATTTTAATAATCATCGGGCGGCGTTTGATGCATGACCACCGTGTCGAGGTCAGCATTGATTTCCACCTGAGGCAGGCGGTCGATGGTGGCATCGGAGATGGTGGAGGAATGGTTGAGTACGTTTTGGAAGTGTTTAGCCCTGCGTTTCAGAATCTGTGTCTTCTCAGTGAATAGGGTAGTTCCGTCAGCGCTGAGAAGAGGAGCTGTGTTTTTGACTGTAGGACCGTAGACAACCATGATCGCAGCGGAGGAGTTCTTCCATTCATTGGTCAGCTTAACCTTGGATTTCCTCGCCCTTGCAAGCCATGCACTCATCCTGCATTTCCCGTAGCCGCGGTTGTACAAGACGGCGACTTTGGTAGAAGGCTGCTTTTGTGGCATCGGTAGGGCGGTCAACGTAAGGCTTTGTGCAGGTGCTTCTTCTCGGCGAGCAGATTGCTGATGGCAACATCATTTTCTCGAAAGCACTCCTGACGTTGAAGATGTGCGCGGGGGGTGGATTGAAGAGCGTCCCGCAGTTAGCACCATCGATTTTCCACGGAAGCGTTCTTTTCTGCGACTGGTAAACTGGGTGGGATGTCGACACCAGCATTGACTTTTACCTGAGGTTGACGATTAACGACCCAGACGCGAACTAATGAGCGACATCGCGTCATCGCTGACCACCAGCGACGAATGCGGGATCTGCTAATTGAATTTGACACGTGGCAGCATGGCAATTGTGCGGTTTAATTAGTGCACCCCTAGTGTCCTCATCACCGCTATCTGTAACTGTATCTGATGATGAGTTCGAGCGAGTATTTGAAACGTCAGTCCAATAACTACCGTGCCCTAGCGATCACATCTTATTTTTCTGAGGCTGGAAAATGCAATTGTTCGATGCGGCATGATATGCACGAACACATCTTCGGGAGTCCTATCGAAAGCTAGTTGCTGTATTGACAACAGGAGGATTCCCAACTTAAGAGTCAGGCAAGGCAGAATTGAGAGGAACAGCTTTACTGAGCTAAAGTAGCCTTACAATAATCGCTGCAAGCGCCGAGTACAAAATCCAGTTGTGTCGGTGAAAAACTGTCGGCTACTGCGAAGCCCTGAGAGCGGAGTATATCCTTAGCCAATTAGGTGGCACGGCGCGCATCGATTGGTTCGAAGTAACATGCGCCTCAGGAAGTGAGTCGACCGCCTTAACTGCGGGCTGAATGCTCTGTCGTCTGCAGCCAATTAAATGAAGAGGGAATATCAATTACCTCCGAACGTAGGCGCAGCAAC